GACAGAGGGTCAAAGAGCCGGGTCAGGGAGCACGCTGGTGCCGCGGCGGGACACCAGCATCCCCCCCACAGGAGCCGGCCACAGCGCAGGAAAGGTGAGCCAACCACTGGACTTTAGAGTGGAGACATTCTGATGCTAGCTGTGGAGATATAGTGTTGTTTTGCTGTGCATTGAAGTGAAAACCATCAGCTAAAATCAGCTGACACATTTTGTAATTTTAACATTTTAGAATTTATCTTGAAATATAACATCCTCATCATTAAGTGTTGCATGCCACAGGGCTTAACATTTTTTTTTAAACAATGCCTGTTTCCCCCTTTAAAAGATTTATTTATCTTTTCCCCTTTTTTTATGTGATCCAAGAAACAGAAAAGTATTGAAATAGTCTGCACTCTGTCACAAACTGAGAATTGGATGATACATGTCAGATGGTTTATGAACACACAGTCATTCACATCAAAACACATGTACAAATGCTCGACCCCTGAGGGTTAAAACAGTCAGTTAAACAGACTTTGAATGAATTGATTTGACATGTGGGAGGGGGAGTGCTGTGTAAAAGGGACTGTCACACTTTATCACAGAACATATACTCATTGTGTAAACTATTTTAGTCCTAAGATCCTGAACAGAGCTAATGCGCCAACACATTTCTTCAAAACGTCATCCCTTAAAAATCCTCTTTACAAGCTAATATGATATAACTAGAAAAGGTGAGGAAGTATCATCAGGAGAGCTGTTGTAAAGAAATAACCCTCCATGAGGGTTCAAGTATATACAGTATTTTACGACATTTATCAATTGTGTAATAGATTTGTTCAAATATTGAAATGTAATTTTGGTTTTGTTTTTTTTGTTTTTGATGCCATAGTGTAAATATCTGCTTTAAGCTGCTACACATGCTCTGTGCGTTCACTACTCATTTATATCACATTCATTTCAAATGACAATGCAACCCTGAGCTCTGTTCGATAGATGTGATCCATTTCACAGAGGAAGATTCAACTCATTGATCAAAATGTTGAAATGTAAAAGTAATGGAATGGGTGTCTGAAAAAAGAGTATTGCACACATAAACAGGATAAACATTCAGCTGACTTCCTCAGTCTTTACTTATTTAAATTATCTAGAGTTAATAAGAAAAGCGTTTTTGTTTAAACTAGCTTAAAGCGGTCATTCATGTTGACAGCAATTGTTGATTCCTTCACAAACACACTTGAATTACACTCTGAATTTACTCTGAAGTCACTTTTGATCACATTCCTCTATGTAGCTGACACTTTCTTTCTTTTCCTCGATCCATCCCGCCCTCCACGCCCGCTCCAATCCTCCTCCTGACCTTTGGTCCACAGTCTGAAAGGGGCTCCTTCCCTCGGTGCTTCTGTGCTCAGCCCATTCCCAGGGGCTGTGTTGAGCCGGGACTCATCCTTCATCCTCTCTAAAGCTTTTGTTGCACACAGAAAGCTGGCCGATGCCGGGGCCATCAAACCCGAGTTGTTGGATCAATATAAACATCCATCACTTAGCCCGGGCCTTTCTGAGCCGCACAATGAACAGCTCACTAAACAATACTTCACTTATGTGAGTCTTTGCAAGGAATGAACTAGCGGTGCTTCACTTATTTCTGGGTTGCACTTGTTTTACTGCGAAAGTAACTCCGTTTTCTGTCCTTCCCAGAGTTACAGTAAATGTCAGCAAAGTTGTTTTTATTTTAACATTAAGTATAACACCTCTACTTCCTTTCTGAATTGCATTGTGGGGGACACAAGTATACACACGCAATCTAGTATTATTTTAGTATAGGCCTACCCATTTTACACTGTAAACATACATGATGACTGTTTTAGTTAAATCCAGAATATATTTGTAATTGAGACACAAAGTCAGAATTTGAAGTTCTGGTTAATTCCGTTACAGTGATTTCCAGAACCACTATGGCCGGCCTGTATTCATCTGAGATACTTTGGGGACTCATTTCATGCAGGAGAGATCATAGTTTCCTTCCATTGTTCAGAGACTTGGGAGACTGTGTACTTCCTGTTTCCTAGCAGTTTGGACAGACTCAAAAATAAAAAAACAACAATGGAACGTGGCTCGTGTTTAGACAGAAGAAAGTGGATTAATCCATTACAGCAATTCGTTTTTTATTTGATATCCGAAAAGTACAACAAAATATTTGACGCACACTCAGACTGTCAGGGATTTCAGAGTGGGGAGTTCTGTGAAGTTCAGTAGAATATATCTTAATAATTATGATATTAGAAATAATACAATTAAACAAATAAGACCATATCAATAACAATAATAACAATAATATAATCATAATCACAGTAGTATCAGAAACGTATTTTATTATTGTGAGTATTATTTATTGAGAATTAAAAATATATATTTATATTATACGATAACAAGATATAGCAGTACAAATAAGAGAGAACAAATACAATCAAATACTATGACATAGTGAATAAAAAGAATAACATATAGAACAATAATGTCAATAATTGTTCACTTTGTTGTCTTATGCTGCATTCTGAGCAACATTATCATTACAGTTTCAAGTGAGGAACAGTCCTCTGGGTCAGAGATATGCACTTTCATTCAATCAAATCTTATGTATATCCACAAAAACATTTAAAATAGAAGATGTTTGTAAAGATCTAATAACAGATGGATGAGTGGATATTATAGTGATCTACATGACGGCGGAATAGCATCATGGATTTTATTTTGAAAAGCTTCTGACCGGAAGCTGCAGTCGGTGCAGTCGCAGTATGAAACGAAGTTGGCGCTGATATTCATTATAGGACGCTCATTTACAAGTATAGTTGGGGGTTTAATTTACATATTTGTAAAGTTAAAAACAACGTAAAATATGGATTTGTTGATTTAAATGGACTTCCGGTTACTCGGCAGTTACAGATATTAATAAAGGGATCTGTGACTTCACTCCTCATGATGACCTCAGCTGTTCTCATGAGAGTTTTGGCTGCAGTTTTCGCACTCGTTCAGTCAGGTAAGTGACTTTGAGATTTGGGATCATTCACGTGTTTATTTAGTTTAAAACAGTGTGACAGATCCTACAGAATAAAAGCCTTTCACTGGGTTTACAATGTGCTGTTAACCGTGGAGATTCTGATGGTCCTTCATCATTAAGAAACAATTATAAACACACTTATTCTTATCTATCCAGTTATAAACACTATAAGAAGAACTCATTGAATCGTAGAAGGTGTCACACTGATTGCAAATACAGTTACATCTAAATTAGTTTTTCAATGTGTAATTTGCCCAAAAATTAAAACGTGGGTCAGCTTGAAAGCCTTCAACACTTATAATTAAACACCCTCACAGTGTCTCCACAAACTGCCCAGTTTAAACATTGCGATGCTTCCCTGAGCCCAAATTGAGAGATCATATTAAAAAAAGCTAAAAGGAGTGCACTAAGCCTTATTAAAAAAGTATTCTTCATGTTTGGCTGAATCTTCTTTATTTTCAAATCCACAGGCTGAACAGGTGAACAGGCTGTTTTTAGCTTCCATTTTAAGATATTCCGGCTATAGTGAACACATGAGAAAACTACAGAAATACAAAAAAAATTGTGTTAATTGTCCTCACACATTTAAAGCAATATTTGGCCATATTAGGATTATATCCAAGGTGTGAAGGAATGCATTTCCTCAGATGATTCTGTTTCCACATCTCTCTCCACTCTTTGGTTGTTTTTTGTGATCTTTCTGACCCTCCTTTATTTTGTAAGAATATGGCTGGTTGTTAATAACACACTCACAATGAAACAAGTAGTTTAAGATTTAATGAACATTTATTTGTTGTTGAGACAGGAAGCAGCTTCTGCAAAGGTTCCATCACTTCTCCCAAACCTCAGTACATTTCACATGAAGTGACGGAAGGCTCATAATAACATGTATTTTAGTTTGGAGAAGTAGACGGTACATTTGCACTCAGAGTGTCTTTGTTCTGGTGCGGATATTGATGGGGCGGGGGGGGGTTGATGTTCCTGAGAGCTGCAGCTTCCTCTCCTGTGAGGAAGCTGATCACCCTGCTTCCTTCAGAGTGTCATAGGAAGCTCAAACAATGGCATTCCTCTGCTGTGCTGCAGACAGAGCTTGTTTGTTAATATCCAGGGTTAACATGTTTGTGGAGGGTGTTCTGCTGCCAGTGAAAGGAGCTCAGACTTGATGCATAGTGCAGTGCTGCAGGGTGTGGCTCCTCTGTAGGGCTGCACAGTTCATTGTAATGCTATCGAAATCACAATATGGACATATCAGCCAAAAATAAGCCTTATTTGTTTTTACATCGTGCAGCCTTAATGTCTACACAAAAAATAATAACATTTCTGGGGTCTGTTGTCTGGAACCTTGTGTTCCTGGTAGGGTCTCCCGTGGCAAATTGGTCTCAGGCAAGGGGCCAGACTGATTGGTTCGAAGACCTCATGAAAGACGAACTAAGAAGTGAGGATACCCGGCCCGAGATGGGTTTTCTCTGCAGGGTGGCTGGCGTCTCCCTTAGGGATAAGGTGAGAAGTTCAGTCATCCGGGAGGGACTCTGAGTTGAACCGCTCCTCCTTCGCGTCGAAAGGAGCCAGTTGAGGTGGTTCAGGCACCTAGTAAGGATGCCACCTGGGCGCCGCCCAGGTGGCATCCTTACTAGGTGCCTGAACCACCTCAACTGGCTCCTTTCGACGCGAAGGAGGAGCGGTTCAACTCAGAGTCCCTCCCGGATGACTNAATGCTGTTTTATCCGACCATTTTTTTGTAACTTTGAAGTACTGCTTACGTAGACTCAACCATTAGTCAAAAGCTGTTAGTCTCTATAGCAAATTTCAGGAAGAGATTCCATCAATACTCAAGGAATCTGGAAAGAAAAAGCTCTTAAAGTTAGCGTACCTGGGTTAAAATCTGTCACTAAGGGACAAATTTAAGACATGGAAAAACACGTAAAGGGTGTTCTTCTTATTCACAGTGGATCAGGGACACGTGTATCTGAGGCCGCAGGGTCTGAGACCATGACACTGAAGTCACTACGGACTACAATACATTCTGCATAATGACATTCTTAATCTACTCCAAATGGGCGGAAAACTGTTTAGCCCTCAACAAGCCCCACTGGGCCAGACAGCCTTGTTCAGTTCATCGGAACACATCTGGACCTGCAGGGGCAGACAGGGTGAAAAGAGCCTTAACTAGTAGCTATGATTGTTCACTGGAATATCTTGCATGGACATCCCTAGGATTAGGGGATTCCAATTCTTTGATTTGTGTAATTGTTTCCAGTGTAGAATGAGAAGTGATTCAGAGAAGACGGTTGTCCTTGTTTTTTTAGAACAAGTTGGTCTGTGCAAGTGTTTAATAAATGGACGTACACCCCAGAGAAAAACCGTGACAGTTTAGAGGCCAATTTAGATTTGTGTTTAGAGCAGGCAGATTAACTGACTTTTTAACTGGTATTTCAGATATACAAAGCTTTCAGATATGTTTTACAGCACAGCCAGATCATTGGGTTCAGTCGAGTCTCAGGGAGAGAGTGTTTGTGGCACCATTAGAAAGCATAACTTGCGTAACTAGTCTAATCAAAATAATTCCATCATGTCTTATGCTTGTTTCTCAACATTATGTGAAGCCATGTATTAACTTTAATAATTAACATTGATCTTCAGACCCCCATCTTGATGAAAAGTTGATTGAGCCCCCCCCCCCCGGTCTTACCTGCGATGTACAGCGATGCATTGCGGCTGAGGGCCTCCCCAGCGCTGCTCCTGGCCACGCAGGTGTAGATCCCCTCATGAGACTGAGCCCGCCGGCCCCCCCCTCCCACGCTGAGGAAGAACAGGCTCCCCTCCAACAGCACGATGGGCTGTAGCCCTTCCTCCCCCGGAGACAGGTCCAGAGGCTGGCCGTTCCTCAGCCACTGGATTGAGGGCGGGGGGCTTCCATCCACCCTGCAGGACAGCGTGGCGGGGTAACCCACCTTCACCACCACGTCAGAGGGGTGGTGCACGATGCGGGGGGGCGACTCCTGCGAGTGAACTCTGGAACCTGAGGATGACACAGAATCAGAATCAGAAATGCTTAATTTATCCAAGAGGAAAAGTACAATGTTACAGCACGGTGCAAATAGACGAAATAAAGGACTTCATTAACATATCAAATAAAGAGGCAAGCAGTAATTAATTATAAATAACATGTAGAAATAATAGTTAATAAAAACATTAATAAACAAAAAATCAAATTAGTACACCTCCGAGGTAGAAAAGATAAGTAGCTGCATTATAAAAGTAAGTGAACATTTAAAAGTAGAAGCAAATAATAGTAAACAATTTATAGTGCCTGGTGCTACAGTGTTGACACAGTGTTAATTAGTGCAAACAAGGTAAGAAACAACGACTGTCAGATTGTACGTTGCACATATGAAGTGTTATTGCACAACAGTGGTGTTATGGTCCGTACTGGTGTGCTGGAGTTCTACTGAATACATTAAAGCGCCATAACAACTGTAACATTTCCGGTAAAAAATAACATTATGAACATTTTATGATGACAGAAAATGTGTTTATATCCGTCCTGATATTTATTTAATCTTTCCCAAAATTTGAAACCTATACATCTCACTACATGGACTCATTGTGATCAGGTTTATTTTAGTTCTATGATAGCTGTGGTACTGAAAACTTCTGTAGCCCACCAAGACTGAATGACTGTGACTTGTGAAGACAGAATAAACTATATTCAATGTAGATGGGTCATGTGTGTCTGATGTATAATGCATTTGATACCAGACAATATTTTATGGATGATTTAGGTCATAATGTATCACTGAGATCATTCTTCTGTGGAAACATTTCATGACAAATGAAATCCATCCATCCATGTTCTCCCGCTTATCCGTGGTCGGGTCGCTGGGGTATCAGTTCCAGCAGAGCCCCAAACGTTCCTTTCCCTGGCCACATCAACCAGCTCTGACTGGGGGGTCCGAAGGCGCTCCCAGGCCAGCGAATAGATATAATCCCTCCACCTGGTCCTAGGTCTACCCCTCGGTCTCCTCCCAGCTGGACGTGCCGGAACTCCTCCCTAGGGAGGCGCCCAGGTGGCATCCTAACTAGGTGCCCGAACCACCTCAACTGGCTCCTTTCGACGCGAAGGAGGAGCGGTTCAACTCCGAGTCCCTCCCGGATGACTGAACTTCTCGCCTTATCCCTAAGGGAGACACCAGCCACCCTGCGGAGAAAACCCATCTTGGCCGCTTGTATCGTTTGTGAAATTGTTATGACATATTAATTTATAAGTATATGATATTTATCT